AAAAGACCACATCAGATCAATTGATCAATCACCAGAACATGATCAAGGTGCCAAAAGAATAAGATTCCCACCATTACCACCGAACTAAGATCAAATCGTTGATGGGATGATACTCACTGAAGTTCAAAAGCTGGACAAGTCAATACATTAAAAAAAAAAAAATGAAATACAACGTCTGAATAAGTTTTTTTCGGAATGTAATAAGTACCGAGGCCAAAGGCCTTCTGAGTCTGGATTTCGTATATTTCATGTATATATAGCGAGTTCGACTTTTTAACACACTAATGTGGTTTCGTCACTCGCGCGAACTGCCGTACGCTGTTATATCCTCTTAAAATATTATTCAAATTAGGTAAAAGTTAATGTTTCGTTCCCTCAAAAGGAATTTTCATTCAAACGATAGCTCGTATGATAAACCAAACATGTTTGCCATTTGACGAGTGTAGGATTATTGATGGTAGTTAATATTCTATGCCATTTTCATATTTTTATGAAACAACTTGCTTCTTTTCGGCGATTTTTTGTCCGATACTACATGCATATTACAACTTTTGAACTAAAACCAAGGTTCTTTTCAAGTAATTTCACTAACATTCCATTGAATAGATCGATTATTTCACTCATTTGAATGCGTTTGTGTGAATTTCAATAGAATAATGCAACAAATTCCCAGTAGATTGTTATTCAAGTGATTTTCTGTCCTTTTTAAAGTGATATGAAACGTTTCCATTCCTTGGTAAATCAAATTGAAAAACAATCAGCCATTGAATTTTTTATCGAACGAAATTGTATTCATTACCTCAATGTATCGTTCGATAAAATATTCAAGGGAAAAGCGGCATAGAAAGAATCTCTTTAATATTGTTGATGCAAATGAAATATCTGATAAAGCAATGAATTCCAAACAGTTTACTCAACAAACAATTGATTTCAGCATTCCATTAGATAAATTTCCGGGCGAGTACTTTACTGCAATATATTGTTTTTTCACAAAATAAGCTTCGAAGATTTTAATTTAACGATATATCGGTAATTTGCAATCAATTTTCAATGGTACCGTCGATTTATCAAAATACAAACGATAATGTGATATCAGACATAAATATTTTCGACATGATGTAATCAGACATTGAATCGTAATTTTTTTTCAATTGATTTTATAATGAAAAGATTAAAATGTATACTTGAATAAAAAGTAATTTCATGCTTGTCATAATCCAAACATTTCATACTTTTATTTATTACCCATCATTTCAATGCATCATACAAATAAATTACGCCTAAAGTACATATACGACCACTTCAACATATAATTAATTAAAATATGCGGTAGAAAACTCTGGTTTGTGCACAATATCTACCGTCGAAACATTATTTTGAAATTCGATTTTTTTTTTTACATCTACATCTACATATTGTTGTAAACCATGATACATGATGGTGTTTTTCTCTTATAGTACTGATTGAGATTCATTTCTGATGCTTCAATAAAATTGTGGCTTTCATGAAATGAATATTGTTGAATGATTTGAAATTGCTAAAATATCAAATGTTGATATCATGTTATGTAAAATACGCCAGTTTAATGTTCAACTTTATTTGCTCATTTGTTCATGTGCTGTATCTCAATTAGTATCGGCCACCAAAATGCGTTTGAAACCTGACAATTTTACTAAATAACACATGAATTTCCATTCATTACAGAGTAAATATTCCTGGGTCACGTGATTTTCGCCTAGCATTGAAATGTGTACAAAACATGTGTTTAGTTAGCTACCAAATAACGTTTGTTTCGTTTTTGATACAGGTATTAGAATTTTGTAATTAACATATATTTTATCAGCATGAAAATTGCAAATTCGTTTATTATTCACAAAATGGCATTTTGTAATTGCTGCTGTTCACACCTGCTGTAAGTAGACTGTAAACAAAGTGATGAACAAGCTCCAATATTTGGTAGGCTCGTTCGTTAAAAACGGTATCCGATTAAAACATCTTGCCTTCAACAGCCATAAATTATGATAAAAGCAAAATTAAGCAACATTTTATGACTGGACCCCTTGAAATATGATAGGGGAAGAGGTGTGTTTCATGCAAACTTGAGATAAAAAAAAATTGTGATGTTGAATAATGTTCTGGTATTGTGATTACTTAGAAAGCTTAGCAAAAAAAAAACCGGTAGCGTGTTACACAAAGGGCATTATTTATGATAGCGGTGTGTTCTTGCAATGAAGAAAGCATACGGTGTGAATGCGATTCATCGAGATGATTTTCATCATTTTAAATGAGATGAGGTTATATATATATAAGCTATAGTGAGACATAAACCTCAAATATATTTTTCATTACTTACTCGTTTCCGTTGCCACATCTTCGCCGAGGTGACGTGTTGCAAAGAGATAAAGTAAACCATAGGAAAGTTGAAATCCGGTTGTCATTACATGGGCAAGGAATGCAACACCAGAAACTATCCATCCATAACCACCGTCCGGATAAAAGTGCTAAATGATACAATTTAAAAAAAAATTCGGATGAATCAAGAATACACGTAAACAATGAATTGAACATAAAGTTAAATAATACGAAACAACAAGCACGAAAATTAAAGCATCAAAGATGTCAGACGAACTGTTTGAGTTAGTACTTTCTCTGCAAGCGACAAAAGTTGTTGTGTGTTGATAATTATGTTTCACAATCAAGTAAAATTTATATAAACAACAAAATCAGGAAGAACTCAAACTCTCATCAAACTTGAACACAAATGAACAAGTCACAATAAAAGATATGAGCAACAAAATGTCAATGAGCTCCTTATCTCTGTCACTTTTTTGCAGTGCTAGCTCAAATTAACATCGAATTGTTACTTCTTCGCCATTGAAGCGACCAGTTCACCCTTTTCGATTCACCTGACATAATTTCTTAATGATGTTTTAAGCAAAGTTTGTGGATAAGTCAATCTCTTTTAATTAATACCATCTTTGTTTTGAACAAACATTGTTACTTCGTTTGGATGTTGTTGCAAAATGCAAAAAAAGAGAAATTGCATGTTATCGTTTGCACTTACCTGTCGTATGGCATTAGTATCAACTCCAGCTCGGCGTAAGCCAGGAACATTTCGATGTATCGAATGAAATTCGCGTTCAAGTAACGCAGGACATGCTGAATCTTCTTCTTCATAATAACGACCTCCACGACCGTCATAACCTTTACGAAAGAGAAAAAAAAGGTGATGAAAACCAATTTTGTTAGGTGATGTTTTTCAATTTTGTCAATTTTGCTATGAATTTGTTTTTGATTTTAATTAACCGAAAAATCGATTGCAAGCCCATTTGCAGGTTCTCTGTTTCACAGCAATATAAACATAAAGCAATCAAAGTCAACGTGTAGCATAAAATTACTGTATACGGTTCATGTAAATATATTAGCTCGATTGGATGAAGTGAAGCAATAAAGGACCGGAAAAATATGAAAATCAATCACTTCAAATGTTCTTGCTTCATCACCATGAAACTCAATCACCCGACACAAATTCCAATTTATAAAATAAATTATTATTACACGCTCAACACACTGATTGGCTCATACGATTCACTACGATTGACAGATGCCTGACTGTCACTTTCGCCTACTGCCATTGTCACCGTTATCACGCTTATCGGCAATATAATTGACGAACGGTGATTTGCGCGCTTCAATTTTTGTAGCGCTCCATAATAATATAATTATTATCGAGTTTGGTTGATTTTTTTTTAAAAATGAAGTATGTCTTTTTTTACTGTGTATGGTTGTGTGCATGTCGAAATAAATAATGGCCACAATAAATTCCTTTCGTCACCTCGTTCAGTGTTCGGTTTTGTCCACTGTGAGAATCTTTGTCACGTATTCTCTTAGTGAAAATTGTCAGCAATAATCAAATGGCTCACAAATTGATCATATAACTTGACTCGTAACTTTCCGGTCATTGCCGGAAGCTGATGGTCGTGATTCAATTGATTTTACCCGAACAAATTGACTCTTTTTTTTATTGACCATAACTTTGTGAAAAATCATTTAACTTTTTTTTCACACATTCGATGCAAGTTATGTCACTTCAATAAAGAGATAATGATTTTTAGCGAACATATAAAAAAATCCATATATCGGCCACAAACGCCACAAACTACGGCTAAAATTAAATTGGATAAAAAGGCAATAAAAACGTAAGCGCAATTTGAAGTAAGCACTTTTTTCATTCCAAATGCTTTTTTATGCTTTTCATCTCATTCTATATATGGGTACTTTATATTTTGGGTGCGGCGAAGTGAATGCACCGTAATTTGACGAAACATATGCAAATTTATTCGTAATGAATTCCAAAGCAAGTTTGTGTATGATAAGCAACCACATCATTTTTTTTCTCGTTCGTAATAAGAGATTGCATTTAAATGTGGTGCAAGTGTTCGAGATAAGTCGAAAAATGTATGTTGAAAAATTATTATCAAAGTACATACACATAAATCTCTTGCGATGATAATTATAAATGCCATCGACAAATAGTTGGACGATTTTTTTTTAAATTTAATTTGGTTCATTAAATAAATGCAAATTATTTGAAATTAAAAAAAAAATATATTTTATTGTCCAAATTGTCAACAAATAAAGGAATTTCAATAAATACAATGCGAAGAAGATAACGATGTGGTCGGTTTTTCCGTGCTTTATTAAATACATCCAAATGAAAATGGCACCGTAATGGTTGGCACATTTAAAAATGATTATACAGAAAAAGCAATTTATGCTCAAAGAAAATATGCATAATGAACCTTTGCTGCATGTTTCCTGTATTGATTTTCGAGACCATCAGAGGGATGGTAACAATAAAATTGTCCGCTTTTTAATCACCATAAATGTTATTGACCATACATCGAATAAAAAAATCGTTTAAAATGACTCCTGTTTTACATTATATAATAGCCGTGTTCTTGACGCTTGTCATTTCACATCGTAAACTGAATACATTTCGAAACTGTAACCGGAAATTTGAATAAAATTTTTGAAATTCTTCCAAAATTTAATAATATGCACTAATTAACCAGGAAGACAGAGGAGTAATCGACCCATCAGCACATTTAACTTTATGCAATATGCTCCATTGGAAAATGTTATTTTGTTTGCTATTATGTGAACTGTCCATTCACTATCAAATATGTATCATTATTTGTTGGGAAAACTGTCGGGCAATACCGTCGTCAAAGTTTCAAAATGGTAATTAGAGTATAATAATGCAAACGACATATATTAATCTTTTGGCTTGATATAATTTACCGAAAATACGTTGTTGAAATGTGTGCGGTATGCGCGCTGTTTTAAATTCATTATTTTTAATAAGATTGTGTGTTGAGCATTTCCTGTTTGTCGTCATTTCGATCAAAGTTTCTGTGGTTCTATGGAAAGGTTCGTCATCTCTTTTACATTTTTCCACATCCGTTTGTTATATAATTAATTTATTTGAATGAGCTCGTCACTCGTTGACCAGCGACATGTTGATTTTTCATCTCAAAGTGAACTGAAAAATTGATTAAAACCAGCTATGATGCTGAAATGCATCGAAACAATGGCCCAATAATAATTAGTCATTCAACACAAAGCACAGCCAATTTTCCATAATGATTTAAGCTTATTCGTTTTAATTATTCATGTGACGCGGTTTTGATTTCATATTGAAGCCACAAAGTTAGCTTAGTGCGGTGCATTATGAATAATACAATCGTTTATCATATCCGAATTAATCCAATAGTTTCAAATTAATCTGTGTTCATCACAAAATCTCTTTGAAATTTTTTCTGTCATCAACAAGCTTTCAGCGTAGATGTTAACAGTTTTAAGTCAAAATAGTTTGTTGTGAGTTGTTGAGTGGCATTCATTTATAGAATGGAAAATTCGGGAGAATGAAAGACGATTATTTAAGTGACATTAAACATAAAGGCCATAGAACACAGTATCACAGTGTAAATGGCATGTCCAGCTGGAAAATTAATGAACTCTTCGAGTTTTGGTTAACATCATAATCTCCGAATGAAACACGAACAATGGGATGAAATTTCAAAGGGTTGGAATGCATAAATGTAATTCAAGCAGTTGGTTTTTGGTTTGAAACCAATGCGAAAAAAGAGAAGTTTAAACCATTTTCAGTGCGGAATCACCTGGAACTTGATCCTACTTTTGACACTTGTTTTCGTGTTATTACAAAGAAAAGTGCCTACTAAAGTAATGAAGAAAGTTGGTAAATGTGTGCTGCAGTGTTTGTTGGCGCAATGTAAACTTTAACTGACATTTTAATTAGATTGTTCATCCAAAAAGTCGTATGCCTGATGCACGTTCACATACACAAACACACAGTTTTAGTAACAATTTGATCATTACTGTATGGATAAAGACTTGCGACAAGAAATCAGCCATTTAAATCTCAGCAGCGGCAGTCGGTTCAATGACACCACCATTATAGCTTTAGCTTTATTGGTGGTGTGTAAAAAATACATTGTGGTTAATATTGAGCTCAGAATGATGTTGGGACCGAGGCGAGTAAAAGCGATATGGCCGCACAACTTATGGCACAATGAATTTTATTTATGATCATTATACACACACATAAACATACACACACACATGTACAATTTATCTGTTGAATTACGTTCATGGCCAATGGGTGCACGGTGCAGTGTGTGTAAAAATTACACAAGTAATGTGTAGCAAAGCGCGTTGAATAAATGAATGAACGGGTTAGTGTTGAGTTTGCTTTTAAAAAACCTCATATAAATTTGATGTCACATTATTTTTTCGCATTCAATGATGACTATGCAACGGAGCTCGTGATATGAGCTCTCGTTTCTATTCGTGAAAAATCCTCATTTTTCGAGCTTAATGTCGACATCGGACTTGACAATGTTTTATGTGTTTATGAAGTTTCATTGTTGTTAGCGCTGATGCTAAACCGCATTGTGTCACAAACAGAAAGAGAAAGAGAGAGAAAGAAATTCACATAAAAAGAGCAACATTTCTCGCGCGACCATATTTCATTTCGGTGGTATTCGCATTTAATGCAAGATGAAAGATGAAAACATTGATGGCAACTTTTAAATTCATGTTTAGTCGATGCATTTGATGCATTAATCAAATCATAAAAGTAAAAAATTGTGTTTACGCGCGATTTCATCCAAGAAAAACACCTTTTTGTGCAACACATAAAATATGGAAGAATTTCATGGGAGAAAGCTTATGAAAAACTGAAGAAAGAATCGTTCGAAAATAATAGTATCATACTATTAGTATGATGCACTGACGTAAGCAACGCAACGTTGTTTTTCACCTCATTTTCCACTAAATTTATTCAAGACAGTTCCAGTTTGCCACAACAGTTTGTGTATGTATATACAAGGTATCAAGTGTTGCATTATTTGAAAATTATCCACATTCGTTTGTGCATCAATTTTATTTAATCGATATTTATTGTCTCTTTGGTGCATCAAAAATCGATTCGTTTGAATTACAAAATCAAATTTTTTATTGCCCATTTAATGGTTTTCATTGAAAATGTTTACATGAAGTTCTAAAGAGAACATGTTTGTTCCGTATGCATTTTAATCAGTTTTCGAGGTAAACAGTGCAAAAACCCATCTCGATAAATATTTAAACATTGCATGAAAAGCGAATTTGTGGCATTTCATGTGTGAACATATCCTAAACATGATGGTTTATTGGATGAATGTGTACTATGCGATTGCAATGTGGAATCCCAATGCCCGCTCTATTCTTTGTATGTGTGTGTATAATGTCTATGTCAATGCTTACCTGTGTATGAATTATTGGCATTGCCATAGTTGGGTGCTGATGATTGGCCAGTATGATTATCAACGACGGTAAAACGGCATCGAGAACAAGTGCGTTGTGGAGGTTGCGGCGGTGCTGCTGGAACAGGTGATGCTGACATCGCTGGTGAACAATTTCCGTTAGACATATTTAATTGGTTTTCTTTGGTTTTAAAAAATGTTGAGGTATTGCCTGGATGGCAATTGGACGTTGATTGGGAAGCAGTGAGCCTCGGACAGGTGGGCCACCACGATGAATTTGAACATAAAATACACTGGGTCTTACAAGTACAGTAATATCGTCACGGTGTTGTCACATTTTGTGAATGTGGCTGTGGTTGGTGTTGCGGTATTTGGTTAGCTGAACAGTGCAAATGATTTTGTGATTGTGACAAAATATTTGGTAAACACGAATGTGAGGTAGTCGAACCGAGACAGCTTTTCAGTATGGCTGGTCCGTTTGATTGAATTTGTTGCGTCGATCCACTGTGATTGCAACCAGCTGTTGACATATTTTGATTAGAAAGACGATGTTGGAGCCATTGATTGTTTAAGTTGCAAGTGCAATACATGTTTTCGATTCAATGGCAGTTTGTATCCGTTTGTTTTCGCTTTGTCTTTATTTTTCTCTTCCAAACACTATCTCTCTCCCTCTCTCTCTCTCTCCCCCCGAGTAATTGAGAACTGCTAATATGTCTTGTATATGTGCACGTATGATATATCCGGGCTGAGTGATTTGTAAGTATCGGTTATGATTTTGACATTTAATTTTTGGAAGTTCGTGTGATAGGCAGTGTCGTTGTTAGGCCAAATGTTATTCTACACAACTACTGCTCGGTACATTCGGTCGTGCCGCTGAATTCATACATTCAAATAGTAACTGATCCATGTTTGAAGCAATGTTTGCATTTCACGATGTTTTCGAGTGATTTGCTTCCGTTTGATTCGATGCACACAATCCCTCTCGAATTCATTCGAAATATATTGCCGTTAGCCACGTTCTGATTGCAAATATATTTTCCTGTTGGTGACCAGAAGAGAGAGAAAAATGTCAGTTATTTAATATTTGTAAAACTACAAAACAAGGGGGAGAAACTTATAAGTAAAGAAAACGGATGGTTTTTCTGCTTGCATCCTTTAAATCAATAAAAAGCAATATAAACGTGATGTAATATGATGCATTCGTATCACTCTTATTTCTTCAATATGAAAAATGACACGAACTCATGGCACGTAGAACTCGACCATACTCACTCATTCACAAAAACAACCAAACATTAATCCAACGACGTGTATTCCAAAACATTAATTGAAATAATTGTGATGTCATTGCATGCCGAGTAATATCACATCATCATTTCTCGTAAAAAAAGCATGCACAAAATTCCCGAACAACAAATAACATTAAATATCTCATAAACGACGGACGAACGATACTTTATCAAGTGAAAAAAGTGTTGCGCAAATGAAAATTTCAACAAAGTTTTCATATCTATGTCAAGTGTTATTGCATGCATAGCATTGCTTAAAAGTATAGTATCAAAGTGGATAAGTATTAAGCGGAACGCAATAAAAATGAAATTATTTTCATTTTCGTAAAACGGAATATTGCCACGGACCATTTATATACGATGAACATTGAACAAAACACTCATTTTAGTGATGTTGTGATTTCCGTTTTGATGCTATAATCGAAAGTGCAATTGCATTTGGTGAGCGAGTGCACACACACACACATCCACAAAAGTGTTGAAGCGCATTGGAAAATTCTATAAAATTAGAACGATCAAAACGGTTTTCGTTCCACTTTTGCGGAATGACATAAAACGATTTTCGGAAAACTGAGAGTTAGAGAGAAAGAGACGGGAAAATCTGTGCAAAAGATAGAGAAAGAGAGGGAGATTATAGAAAACACGAATCGACCATTGCTGAAACCACATGCTGTTATCAGCAACTACGCATTCCTATACGGTAGTAGCAATGTCGATTCGAAAAATATCAAGATAAGAACGAGCGAGTAAATGTTCTCCGAAATTTTGATAACAATAATAATAATTATTATAAATATTGTCATTTTCAGTGTTTATAATGCGCTTTCAACTGAAAGCTTCTCAATGTCACTAATAATTTTGAAGAGTTTACTCTGATGGCGGATATATTTCACTTAAGGTCTTTTCCTTCCTCCACATTCACAAGGAACGAAGAAATTCAAACTGAAATGTGTGTTTGTTTTTAACGCAAGCGGAAGTTTATGTCTATGATTTATTATTTCTAACTCCTTCGTAAATGTCTTACTCAAACGCCCTTTGTATCGTATCTATTTCTCCACTCGCAATCCGTCTGAGGTTGAAATATGAATAATTAATTACAGTTCGGCTCAATAGCACACATTTTCCAACTTATTCCACTCCAATTTGTTGTTTTCATAAGAAACGGACGTGATTTGGGTTGCGTTCATCGTTAAAAGGCTTGAAAAAATGCTAAAACTCTCGATAATAATGAACCGTTCGAATCAAACGGTGCACTTAAGAATCAGATATTGTTTTGATTTCAAATGGATGTTTCCCGGAAAGTTAACTATGAAAAATGCTACCCCAAGTGGAAAAGACAGTTTTTGTAAAGCGAACCAAACAACTTCATCCGCTGTTCCGAAGACAAATAAATACATTCAAGTGATTCACCATTTTTTTCTCGTCGTGATCAAGGTCTATTTTATCCAAATCGAAATGTCATTCAAGTTAAGTTTTTTCTTGCCTTCCATTACAATGGAATGCCTTCCATTTACCATTCGGAATGCTTTTCAGCACAGAGGTCATTCTCAATCATGGGTACTCACTTAAATGTAGTGAATTTCACTCGGTATTCTATTGACAGAAATACTTGGAATTGCATGAATGATGTTTATTTTATTGGTTAAATACGAAAAGAGAGCTTTTGCAACAGATCGACAACAAATAATACCCTACATTGTGCATGCCGTGAAATAATTTCTATATAATGCTGGTTGTAAATATGTCTTTATTGAAAGACGGAAACAACCAACTGAACACCGCCATCTTTTTAAATGAAAAATAACATAAACATTCATCATACGTGAATCGATAATTTATTTCGAAGCCTTCTCGCATGTATTTTTGGTATATTTTAAATTGTTGCAAAATATTACGACAATTTACAGCTATTATATAATTTCGAAAATAAACTAGTAGTTCCACCTTCATGAATGGACAGGGTAACTGACATTGCTCCCGCTAATCCGCCCGTATCCGTGTCCGC